TTTGCTGTTTATCCACCTGTACTTGATGAATCTTTCAGAAGAAGGTCAGGTCCTTACCTGATCCAAGTCCTTCAAAAGGTTCCCCATCCTGACCTGAAGGAGATTCCCAATCAGGGGCAGGTGCCAAGGCCCCGGAGGGAAACCTTTGGGACATCTGCTCTTCCAGAAACAGAGGAATAGCAGGGAAAGAATGACCAGCCAGCTGAAAACAGTCATGCTGAAAGCAGGGAAGCCTCGCTCTCTCTGCTGCTGTGTCTCTGGCAAATCAGCCAGTGATTAAATCTTTAAGGTGTGGATGAAAGGTAAACTTTGAACAGAAGCCAGATGGCAAAAGCTGACGATTGGCAAACAGAAAATTAACATCAAGATCCTCAGGAAAAAGATAGGTGTTTTCAAATTATATTTCTGTTCAGGCAAACAGAAAGAATTTCAACACCCTTTATCTAATTTATTTCAAACCCTGGTTTGGAAACAGTAAAAGCCAAAGTTTACATGATTACAATATTTTTTAAACAAGGAAAAACATGTTCCTAAAGTGGAGCTCCCCTTGAACTGAACCCAGCACTGTCTGTAGGCTTCACACAGGTTTTAGAAGGCACCACGACAACTATTAAAAGGAAAAACCCAAACACAAAAATAGGACATCCTGGCCTTGATCATGTCTCTGCATGATGTGGCTACAGTCCTTCCCCTACCAGCACCAACCCCAAAAAAGCCCCATGAGATGCAGAACCAGGTCACACAAAGATATTTTCTCATCCCTTGGTAAGCAACATTTGCAAGGTTTGCCCTGCTGCGAGTTACCTTAAATTATACTCATGTGAGGTTGAATAGGAAGGCTTGACATCTACAAGAGTCAGAGTCCAAAGTTTCATATTATTCGTTTTGATCTCTGGGCGTTACTTTCAGGCTGGTTTGGAGTTGGGTGTTTTATGCCCGGAGAACTCCGTGTTCTACATGGGAATCAGGCCAGGAATAGAGCCATGGAAAAGGCTGCGATTTTCATCCAGCCTTGGCTGAGCTACATGAATGTTACAATTGCCGGAAATCCTTTCTTCAGGCAATATAAACGCTGGGCTTTCTTAATCTATTTCTTTACAACTTGTTCTTCAACGACCTGTCTAAAGCTCTCCTAGATAGAGGTCAAACGTATACCCAAGGGACTGCAACAGGTCTTCCAAGCCTCCTGAAGGAGTTTTCATAGCAGTTTCATAGGAGTTTGCCAGAAGCCTTCCCGGGTTCGCCGTTTGGGTTCTCCTGCTCCTTTCCCGCCGACCCCTCTTCATAGAGAAGGGGGTCTGGGAACGGCGACTCCGTGGCCCGCGCTTCGGTTCCCCTCTTCCCTTTACGGCCGGTGGGTTTTTGGGCAGCT